CTTCATAGTAGACTCCCAGATAGTCTAAAGAATCGATTAAAAGCCAAATTTGAAATAATAATTCATTCAATTAATCCTAAGGTGTTTTTTTTTGTAAAAACTTTACATAAAGCTGGTTTGCGCAAAAGACGACCTTTATAAACTTCTTTGATATCTTTGAATCATAAAAATGCAAATTATAATGAGGGTCCGTCCTATAGTAACAAGTATAGTGACAGGTTAAATGATTGACTAAACAGGTTTCAGTCAAATAAATGCTCTCACATAAAGAAAATTATTTTTTAGTAAATTAAACTTATTAAAACTTAAGTACAGGACACAAAGCTGCCCTGACCTGTTAGTACTGCACAATTGCAAGTCCTTGCGCGCATGTGAATTTAATTGCGCGCCATTCCGTAATAATTGCGTGCAAATAAACGCAACAGAATTGCGCGCCATTGCGCACTATGGCCCGCAATTCCGTCCAACTTCCTTGCGTTATGTTTCAATTTTTTTGATAAAATTCAATTTTAACCTTATGGCATGCAATAAATTGAATTAATTATTGCGCAATTCCTTTCAACAGCTAAATATTCAATTTAAACTTTGGCAGTGGCATACCATATACTGAACTTCACTAACATTTTAGTCTCAAATTCTAAGAAAATTGAATTTAAACTTAATATTTTGTTTCTAATATTATTTGCAGCATGATAACCAGAAAACTCTGGCATAGGAAGACGACAGTTTAGACTCAAGCAGACCCATGTAACTGGACAAGTGATTTAATAAGATGCTAATAAATTTTGTTCGACTTGTAACTATAATATTGAATACACTGATGTTGTCTTTCTGTACCATAGTTTTCTGGTTCTCACTGTAGCAAAACATCTAATTTTATTAAATGAACCTTACAATTTTAACCAAAGAAAATTTCCATTTTAATGTTTATCCAATGTTAACAAATGAAAAAAGTATCATATTAAATTGCTAATTAGTAGCTTAACCACAAGAAACTTTAAAATTTGAAAACTGTTGAAACAAGTGACACTCGGGCCTCGATTATCTAAAAATCAATTGAGATATTTAATTCCATTCTTGTATCTGCTGCATAAATTTGTAAGTCGAACATTTAAAATTATTGATTTTTATATATGAAACCAATTCCAATGCACGCAATTGCGCGAATATTTAATTGCTTCCTGTTTCACAATTATATCGCAATTGCGCGCAATTAAATGGTGCAAGTGGAAGCAACCCTTGCGCGCAATTTCGTGCAATTGCACGCAACAGAATTCCGATTGGAAACCCTAACTGCATGTTATAAATATTTAGACTATTTTTTCTTCAACTTTTATAGTAAAATTGATTTCAAAGTAAAATATACTTAAACAAAAGATTTTTCTAACGAAATAAAACGCAAAAAGCCTTAAATATCTAACACAGTAAAGAGAAGACGACATTCATAACTATTAATCAACTGTCATGTTTCGTGGAACACCCTGTAGTTCTTCAATTTTTTCTTAAGCATACAATTAAAGCACAAAATCAAGGATTTCACAAAAACTGCTGTGTTTTGTAAATTGCCGCTGATATCGAATGTTTTGTACTTGAAACCCCTGTGAAATAATAAAATCTGTCTATCTTTATACAAAACTGCAATAATTCTTAACAATTAAAGGAATTTGTGAAATTTAGGAAAACATAACTAAAACATTCAATCTCAATTAAAATGGACTTTTTAATACAAATTGTTAATGTATCATTATAAACTATTTTACCATGTAAAGATTTTTTGAAATAAGGTTTTTGGTGGAGGTAAAAGCCAAATATTTTTTATTGGAGACCAAAATGCGGGGCGTGGAGACAGAATGGCGGAGGCTTGGAGACGTAGCAAGAGACACAGAGACGGTTTCGGGGGGCCTGGAGGTTATTCTGAAAATCTAGAGGCTCGGAGGTAATTTTTGCGGGGCTCATGGCGCCTCTGCACCCCCTCCCTTGCTGGATTTCTGTTGAAAGTGGAAGGTGCAGTAAAGATTAATATGGTGCCATCTTGAAATCAACTCTTTTACATTAAATAGCTGCTGGAAACGTATTTCCTAATTCTTGTTTCTGGGTGGCTAGAAGGAATTGTTTACTGAGCATAGGACAATGGTCTTTGGCTGGTAGTATCTTGGTTTCGATTAGTAGGTGACTAATTGGGGTCATTTTTACATTTATATAATAAAACAAAACATTCATATATATGTTGCTTTTAGCCGGCCAAACTGCTGGAACGATTGGGCTGAAATTTTTTGTGGACACTCATGGGTGAGTGTCTTCGGTTAAAAAAAATTTTCCCCACGGGCAACGCCGGGTCCTTCAGCTAATTTCCTATAATTGTTCTCAGTGCAGTGTTTTGGCTCCCCGGGTCCCTGTCACTTATATTTATAAGAAAGAGATATCACTTTGTATTTTAAACCATGAATTGCTATTTTTTTAGAATGTTTAAAAATCAGATTTCATTTGTTTATTTATTAATTTATTAAACAATAAACTTCAACCGTAAATTGCACTAAATTATTACCATTAATACTTGTTTACAGACCACTTTTTATATCTTTTATGTTGCTTTACAACCTGCATCCTTTACGTAACTTTATATTCGTAAACCCCTCAACTAAGCTTTAGGTGTATTCTGCAGTGCACGGACCGAAGATTTAGTAGCGTCTAGTGAAGAGTGGTACTAAGTTGGGAACCCAGCTTTGCCTAGATCAGGCTCAGAACATTCCCGTCGTTCTACCGAGTTCCCCGATCAAAATTTGAAGCAAATATTCATGTGGTTTAGGAGTTATGTTCGGACAAACAAACAGACAAACCAACATTATATATAGATATTTCGTTTTTATATTTTGCTTTAAAAATAAAAGATATTAAACTTTTAATTTGGTTAATGTTAAATTAGTTAATAATTCGAATTTATTCTTAGCTTGTTTGTTTGTTTGTTTGTATCCAACAAACGTCAAAACTGCTGAACTGATCGGGCCCAAATTTTGTGATGAATTTTTGATAAATTAGCCTTCAGCAAAATTCGTTTCTTTTAATTTTGAAAATCCGCAATTTTTATTTTATAAAATCCACAAACTATGTAGATTCTACAAAAAAATTCTGAAAAATCGCAAAATGTATTAAACACTAAACATAAAATTTTCATATTTCTGAGAACACGGAAGACTGGAATTAGAAATAAAAAATACATATTTTCTGAGTAGAATTATAAAATTGCTGTCCTTTTTTTCTATGAAAAAAAATATTCAGAATCGTGCAAAAACATTTTCAAATCAGAATTTGGCCCAGCACACGCTGCAAGGGATGTAATCCGTCGTCTTTGCAATAAGGACAGAGATCAGGGACCAAAGGGAATCGGTGTTGGCAGACGCTGAACTCCAACCTTCGAGTGTGCGAGGTGGGGAAGACTTCACTGCAGATTTTACTTTTGTACATGACCACTTTTTCAACAATTTTCAATTAAATTAGTATTTACTGAGGGCTAGGTTAGGTTAAGACACTTTCTGGGACGAGCGCTGCGGATAGGAAAGGCTATGGGGCCGAGCGCTGCGGCCACGGGTTAGGTTAATGTCCTGCCCACGGCCACCATATATTCTTGAAATGTTTTCTNTATCTTAAGAAACAAATATTCGTTAAGATAATCTTAAACTTGCTTAGATTTCAAGATGCCGGGTCTGTCAGGAAATTTATGTACTGCATGAAGTTCACGTGTGAAGGAAATCAGGAAAATCATGAAGTTCTATTTCAAGAAATCTTTGAGAAAAGAAAAAAATGGAGTTGCGGAGTACTTTACAATATTTAAAAACCCAATTAAAATATTTTTTTTTCATACATAAATTGTTAAGCCCACCATGTTATACATTCTTTATAAAATTATTCTTTCAGCTTCGTCAGATTTGGAATTTGTTTCTCTCTAGTTGGATTATGTATAAAGATTTTAGACATTGGTTTACCATTTAATTTAACTGTGTCTAGTACTCTCCGTGCAGTTAACAAATAAGCTTTATAAAGTAAAAAGAAATAAAAAATTTGGCTATTTTTAATGTTTTTGCCCTATAATTTTCCGTGTTTCCAAGTTAATTCACTTATCACATAAACAGAGGATGTTAAATTTTTATCATGGACATGCCTAGAAATAGAAATTGCTCGTGAAAAAAAAAAAATTTGGAGCACAAAAAAATATTTTTGGACAAAAAACTTTTGTATACAGTAAAACCCTTTATAAAGAATACATCGAAGAATTCATCAAATGTCGTATTCTTCACTTTCTGATAATGGAATGTTGCAGATATTTAGTTTTTTAATTAAATGATTATATGGAACTCTTGAAAACTGTTCCCGCATATTCATGGCTATTTATTTATTTTCGCAAATACTAAAATTTACGTAATATAGTATAAAACTCATTGAAAAATTGTCAAGACGACATTTGATAAATTCTTCCGATGTCTTCGGTATTAAGGGTTTCACTGTATGATAATGGATTTGTTCAAAATTCAAAAACTTTAAGTGTTAACCGTAATAAATTGTATTTACCCTTCATTTTAAGAGGCACGTAAGAGGTACTCTTTAAACCTTGGTCCTTCAATAATTTGGAAGATATCGTCGTGTTGCTACCTTGTAAAGTGTTTTAATGCTGGCCATTTTAAAGTTACAATATGGATATTTTACACATCTTTTATAAATATTACAAAGCTTATCTATGGGCTCTCTATGATCTAAATATTGCGTCTCAATTTGCTTTAGGGACCATTATAGACAAGAACTTAAAAACTATTCTATTTTGATTCATAATCAAAATGACGTCTACAAAAATCCCCCTCTTCTTTTTATGTACATGTTGACCTTTTCGTCAAATTTTGATGGAACACTGTATGTACACATCGCCTATAAGTATTCTATCTATACTCTAACCTTTCTCCGAAGCCCCGTCTACGTAGAGTCTTGACAAGAGATGGACCCCGTAGAATATTTTATCTTTAGTTGTTACGTTGTCAGTCTACAGTCAGTTCCCAGTCAGATCAAAACATCTCAAGAAATACTAAGTGCAATCAAGTTAGTTTATTGTCAGGACTTAAGAAGGTGAATAAAAACATTTTTAGGGTTCTCTAAAAAATCATTTGTTAATGCAAGGGCCTCAATTCTTTTCACATTTTCGTATTTTGGGCAAACTTTGTAGGACCAAAAATATTGTCTTTTGTTTATGCACGTTAAATTAAAGTTCTGGAAATCCTCTGAGATCTGATATACTTAATTTTCTCTCAGAGTACTGAGTAAATGGTTCCCAGAGCATCCGTTATCAACTGATTTTTACTTTTTTTGACGGTTCAACAATCCGTCTATATTTTCCAATCTAAAAAAACTTTTAAGATGTAACAAAATTGTTTGTTATAAAAAATTTGTTCAAAAAAAAACAAGGGATTTCAAAAATTTCAACTTCAATCGTAGATATAATTTGCTACAAGCTATATAAAAGATTTTGGATTGCTTTGTCAGATGGCCAGATCAAAGTAAATGTTTAAAATGTGAAAAAGAAAATCTGCTAAGAATTGAGGCTAAGGTATCAATTTGAGAAAGAAGAGCTAAAAAATTGCACAAATTTTAAATTATTATTTTTTTGAAAATTCTTTATTTTTTTTTAAGGGGGGCAGTTAGGTTTACTTTTAGTTTTATACAGTTAACCATTTGTTACAAATGCCAAATAAATATATGTTAACTATTTCTTATATACAATCCAATATCTGTCATATGCAATGTTAACTACTTGACTAAAATTGTTAATATATTTTTTTAAATATTTGCTACAATTCAGTTTTTGCAAAAAATTAACTGTTATATAAGCATATATCTTTATACAAAGAATCTGAGTTCTTGCTACAAACTTAAATTTTCTAATCCCTATATCTTCACAAATTGATGAAGTAAACCTTTGATATTTCAAATTTAGACTATTTGATCCAACAAAATTAATAGTTTGAAATATCAACATCCTGTTGCACAGATAAAAGATTTAAAAACAAGAGTTTGTTGCATGAACTCAGTTCCTTTTTTATTATTAGCCATGGACCATGGTCCACATCTTTTAGTTAAAAATGTTTACGTTTACAATAGAAACCATACAACTGTGGAATAGGAAGACGACATTTAACTAATCATGCATATTTCATCTTTAAAGTTACTTTGCTTGTCTGTTTGTTTGTTTGTATCCAATAAACACCAAAACAGCTTAAGCGATTGGGCCCAAATTTTTTTGTGGGACCTCACGTGACCCCAGGAAAGATTTCTGAACGATCGAATTTTCAAAAATTTGCCAGTAACAAATTTGATTTTTGTAAATTTTGAAAATCCACGAAATTTTTTGCTTATTTTTGTTTTACAATCATTACAGTATATACAAAGAAAAATGCTCACAACTGAAATAGCAGCCTAGTGTTGTTATAAAGCAAATAGTTCTACCAGTAGACTACATAATGGAAAGGAATTGAGTTTTTGCCACAAATCCCAATTTTATAATACCTAAATCTCAACAACAAGATGATTCATACCTTTCATATTTCAAACTTACATTGTTTGATCCACCAGAATTCATAATTTGAAATATCTGTGGTCTACAACATTTGGTTTTAAAGAAATTGGGATTTAAAAATCCGAGTTTGTGGCAAAGACTCATTTCCTTTACAAGAGTAGGATCTACTACTATTCTTCATATTCCCTGGTTTACGTCGATTGTTTCTTTGTTTGATTTTGACAGGTACCAATGAAAAGCATAAATAAATGTTCGACTGTTTACATTAAAAACATTTAGCAATAATAAGAAATCTGACACCAACATTTGAATTCTAATTTATTATAATCTGAGCCCCAAAAAGGAAAACAACACTTTTCCTGTAATACTCAAAAATAGACTGAATTGGCATTTATAAATGAGTTAAAGCCTGCTTTCCACACACTGTGCAATACGCAATGTTCCGCATGATTGAAAATTATCCTAAACGATGCCCCACCTAAAAATTAGCTAATATATTCAACCTATGAATAATTCTTATTTATTTTTTTTGCTCCAAACATTGTGAGAAATGATTCATATTGAATTCCAATGCACTTTCTCATTTTTTATATAATAAGTTTAAACTTAACCGAGAAAAAGGTATAAGTGAGTTGGTGTGGGAAAACCATGCATAACTTTTATAGTTGTCTGTTCTCTTTGTTTTCTCGCGTTACTCCGATTTCATTTTAAGAAAATAAATACATTAAACAAAGTTGCACCTTTTCACCTCAAATTTTGCAATTTTATAAACATTCATTGATTGTTTACTTTTATGAGATAATTTAAAATTTAGTTTTACGAAAATTAGCAATGTTTACTCAGAGCCCGAAACTGAAGACAGAGTGTCGAAATGAAACCCAGTATCGAAAACCCAATTTCATGAATGGGGTCAGAAAGTTTTGTAGATACCAAGATTTTTCTTAAGAAATACTATTTCATGTGATTTCTGTACATTCTCTTTTGTTTTCTGATTTCTTAAATTGAAATCTATAACGCAAATGCATATGACTCCAAAATTTGAAACTTGGAAGTTTCGTTCTACGAAACTATCTTAATTTTCCAGCTCAGATTAGAAGTTTTTTGTACTTAATTACTTCAAGAACTAAACTTTAAGTACTTTTATCTAGCATTAAATATTCTTTTCAATTGTATTATTTTCATTTACTGGATGCGATTATAGATTGCAGAAAGCATTAATTTCTTTGGTTAGGTTTCCATAAGTTTTTATTAAAAAAGTGTATTGAACGTTCTTACAAAGCAAAAAGTTTTTCTAAACAATATGTGAAATCCCTTTTTTAGGGAAATAGGTCTGTGTACGCTGCACAATTGCTGTGTCTCATGTTCATTAGATATCTACAGTAATGACTTAAGGCTATAAGTCGTCTTCCTATTCCGAAGTTCTCGACTTTTTATATTTTCGTTGCAATTCTAGTCACTCCAATCTTTATCATTCTTCCCAAAAGTGGTTTTGAGAAAATGGGAAATGATTTAATCACTTACATTTTACTCACTCACAATTTACTCACTTACAATTTACTCACTCACAATTTATTCACGTCACTCACATTTACTCACTTACAATTTCATAAAGAATGAGACTTTAATGACGACCTCAAACTCTCTAATATTGATGAACCCAGCGCGCTGGTTCCCGCAGTTTACCGGCGCTTGGTATAAAATCATGATTTCAGCTGAAGTTCCTTGTGATGCCCTTGGAATTTCAACTTTTTTAGTCTATATTACCCCTGGGTTATCCAAAGGTTTCCTAAAGAAACTCGTGCAAATTGGCTGTGCAAAATTGCAAATTGGTTCAGTTGTGTGGCAAGATATATGCTAACTTATATATGTATATAAATATATATATATATTTATGAGAAAAGAGTTTTACTATATAGATATAAATTTGAATATGAATTTTGTAACCTGTGGTCTTTGATAAGTCTTTGACAGGTGTGCTAATCGATTTGGCAAAGAAAGCAAATATTTTACCACCCCTGGTTAAGGAACCAGGGGTGGACACAGGATTTTGCAAGGGGGGGGCGAGATTTTTTAGTTACATAAAGTTCTGAAAATAGGAACAAAAGTTTTGAAAAATAGAGGGATTTATAGTGTTGGGACACAGTGTTAGGAACAGGAACAATAATTGGAACATTAAGCAAGTTACAAATAAGGAACAAAACAGGAAACATACAAATAGACAAGTAAACGTCATTCATACTTTACATGAATAAGGAACAATAGTCAATAATAGGAACATAAAGCAAGTCAAAACCAAAAAGTGAAATTTTATTCTGTATTAGGTAGATTTATAACCCATTATCCGATATACTTTAATTTGACGTGCACATTAGTGCAAAGGGTACAAAGAGAACCAGAAACTGTGAAAAAGAAAGATGGCAGTATAGCAATACTAGGCCTTTAAAGGGCGCTTCGCGCCCATCTTCAATTTAAATTGTGAACATGTTCTTTTTGTTTACATTTTAAACAAAGACGAAAAAAAATTTGCGGATTTAAAAAAAAATCTCGGATTTTCAGAATTTAAATTTCTTTATAAAATTAAAAACCTTTAAAACACATTTCTTAAAAAATTTTATCATTCATAAACCTTCCCTGTGGTCACGTGATGTCCCACAAAAAATTGGGCCCCAACCGGTCAGCCCTTTTGACGTTTATTGGATACAAACAAACAGAAAAACAAACAGACAGACAAGCCAAATTTATATATAGATTTAAGTACGTAGTTTTAATGCAAATAGTTTTGCAAAAAATCTTTAAAATCCCCGATTTAGCGGAAAGATTTGTGTACACTGTGTCTCATTCGTCTCATTTTTGTTGAACTATTTTAAATCATGATTTGAATCAAAATGTCGTCTTCCCTATCCACAGTTTTCAGCTCTCATGGTTGCCTAATTTTAGATATTAAGTAATAGCGCTATCGGAAGGGGTAAAAACAAACATAGATAAAACAGCCGGAATAATAATAAATTGAACGTAGAGGTCCCCTAGTTCAGACATTCTGTATATAATTTTGACTTGAAGATATTCTATATGATTACACATTCTACGTTTTGTAACATTCGAAACTTTACAATACCGCCAAAGATTTATTGCTCGAACTCCAAATAATCAAAAGTGCTTAGGATTGGGATTCTAAACTTAAGTCGGATAAGCTGAGCTTAAGTAACTTGTATCTTGTTTGCATAAACAGCGGGCTCTAAAAATGTGTATTAATCAATAGAGACGCCAGGGTAAATATCTTTGTACCTGACGTTAAGAAATGTGTTCACAAGAAATGTACACAAAATTGTACAGCCCTAAAAGATCAACTACAGAGCGGCTCATATCATATTAGATTATCTCCAATCTTTAACACCAAAATAGACCCCTGAATACTCGAAAATCTTTCATTTTCCACAAGAAAATTCTTATATAAGCCTTATGTTATTTTCCAAAATGGTTCATTATAATTAAATTTTCTAATTAGTCCAGAAAATCGTAATTTAGACCCGTTCTCGGTCTAATATGATGTGGGACACCCTGCATTTTGTATATAAGCAATAACCATATTTATTTTTATTGAAAATATTGTCATAGGAAAATTCCTTCAAGCTTGCGCGCCATCTTCAATTTTTTAAACTTTTATTTCACCAGTACTTCCCACCCTGAATCGTCCACACCCCTCCACTCCATGCAGCCCCTATTTCCCTTCATGCAGCCCCTATTTCCCCTCTATGCAAACCCTAATCTCCACCATGCAGCCCCTAACCAACTCCCTCCCAACTCCCTCCCAACTCCTTCACATCTCTTGCCAACCCATTCCCAACTCCTTGCCAATTAAACCTCCATTTCTTCTCTCTTTATCTTCGTGTTTTCCCAGAAAGAAAATCAAAAGTTCCAAGCAATAAATTACATTAAATTACACCTCAACAAATTCTCAGAAATGCCTGCTTCATTAACTGCAACAGTTAAAGCAATTATTTAGTGTTTATGCAGATTTTTGGTTTGGCAAAATGACAATTTTTATATGATTTATCACTTTATAAAATAATTTTTGTAGTTTTGTATAATTTGTTAATACTGTTATCAATATTTGTTTATAAAATTAACAGATTATCAAATAATGTAAAACGCTATAAAAAAAGGTGACAAAGGGTTTTCAGGGATTGAGGGGGGGGGGGCAAAGGCTTCCCCCGCATCACGCTTTATCCTTAAACTCCTCAATGTTCAGCCAAAATTTCTTATCATTTTATATTTACAAGATTATTGATGTTTTAGACAAAATTTTTAAAATGTTTGTTTTCTCGGTCTTAAGGCATAAAGAAATAAAGTGCGATAAAAAATTTTCTTTTTTTGAAAAATTGTCGGGAAAATCTTTGTTCTATGGTTTTCCAAAATTTCATTAAATTCATTAAAAATTTAACGAGATTTAACAAAATTTGCGAATCTTTGACGGTTCTAAGGTTATAATTTGGTCACATTTATTTCTGTTTTCTATTCTAAATTTTTGCAGATTTTTTTTTAATATTAAAACATTTTTATGAAATTTTGGAAACATATAACAAACAATTTCCCAACAAATTTCCAAATAATTTTATTAAAAAATATTTTTGAATTTTTTATCACATTTTTTATGCCTAAAATCCAAACAAAGCAAACGTTTTTAAAATGTTGTCCATAACACTGATAATCCCGGTTTTTTACTCACCGTGAATGAATTGTAAGAAAATAGAACACGTTTTTTGTACAGATATACAATACATATAAATGCATTTCAAGAGGCCGGGAGAGAGAGAGAAAGGCAGGGGGGGATTACCTAATGATTATATAACTGAACTTTATGTTTCAGATCTGACTAATAGAAGATGAGACTTTACAAGCAAGCGTTCTAGAAGCTAGAGACTTCAAAAAGATTAGTAACAAATAAAAGAATAGCATCTAGTACACAACAATGAACAAGAAAACTGTATTTTACACATCCCCACCTTCCTCTCCATCCTCGTCGTCATCATCATCATCAGCATCATCATCATCATCATCATCTTCAGTAAAAGGTTCCTCTACATCCACCCCATTTCATTCTACATTGCAACACAGTGATCCAAACAACAAGAGCCCTTCAAAAAACTTTGTATTTAGTCCATTTTCTTCCCGCTCCTCTCCCTACCCTCCCTGTCAACCCATAGAGTCTAAATCTAATTTCTCGACCTCGCGACCTCCTGTATTCGGTATCTCTGCTAGAGATCGATTACTCCAGGTAGAGATGTGCACGATTTATTTAATATTATACAATTTTTTAATATGATTTTATCTTTTTATATCTTTAAAGGAATTGAGTCTTTGGAACAAAATCAAATATTTAAATCACAATATCTTTAAAGAACTCGATGTTGTAAACCTTTGATATTTCAAACTCAGAATATTTGATCTAACAGAATTCATAGTTTGAAATATCTAAGGTATGCAACATTTGGTTCCAAAGATATAGTGATAAGACAATCTCGAGTTTGTGGCAAAAACTCAATTCCTTTGTCCCGAAAATTGCAATTAAGAGCTATAAACTATCTAATATAATGTGGGACACCCCATAGTTCATAAAAAGTTGTTCCATAAAATCGTTCGTTTAGTAAAAAACGATAGTTTTGTGAAATTCGTTCGTTCAGTATAAAACGATCGTTCGAACGATTTTAAATATTTTTAAAAAAGACTATCGTGTTTTCATTTCTCTCAATAATCCATTTTGTTCGTCCATCGTTCGTTTTTTTCTGAACGACACCCTTTTCCACGAAAAATGTCGTTCGTTCAGAAAACAATGCCCATCTCTAACTCAAGGAACAGTGGAACAGATCAAGAATATCCAACGCGCACAACGGGAACCAGGGATGGGGATCAAGGGTTGAGTTTGTCCCACGGTTTAGCGGGATGAAGTTAGAAGATGTTATGAGGGTAACAGTTATGCAAGAAATGCAAAGATTAGGAATGTCTGCAAATGTACCTCTTGATCTTTCGAAACGAAATAAGTGATTTATGTTGCAAATTTGCAAGTCATGATGCACAAACAGTTTAAGTGAGAAGCAACAACTTTGCTGTAAAAAAAGCAGAACTACTTTTAAATTTTTTAAATGCCAAAACTGTTTCTTTAATTAGTAGCAAGATAAAAATTGATAAGTTTTATGCAGTTTTCTTTTATACTTCAGATATAATTTCTTGATTTGTAATTGTTGACTTGGGGGCACCAAGACAAATTCCGACTATAATTATGTTAAAATAACTAGATGTTTTATTATTTTGTGAAATGTGCAAAAAAAAGTATCAAAACACATCAAATTATTTTTTACATCAATAAGAATTAGGTTTATAACACATTGTATTAGATTTTTCAAAAAGAGAGTTTTATAGTCGTTTATAGCAAAAACTCAATTCCTTTGTCCCGAAAATTGCAATTAAGAGCTATAAACTATCTAATATAATGTGGGACACCCCATAGTTCATAAAAAGTTGTTCCATAAAATCGTTCGTTCAGTAAAAAACGATAGTTTTGTGAAATTCGTTCGTTCAGTATAAAACGATCTTTCGAACGATTTTAAATATTTTTAAAAAAGACTATCGTGTTTTCATTTCTCTCAATAATCCATTTTGTTCGTCCATCGTTCGTTTTTTTCTGAACGACACCCTTTTCCACGAAAAATGTCGTTCGTTCAGAAAACAATGCCCATCTCTAACTCAAGGAACAGTGGAACAGATCAAGAATATCCAACGCGCACAACGGGAACCAGGGATGGGGATCAAGGGTTGAGTTTGTCCCACGGTTTAGCGGGATGAAGTTAGAAGATGTTATGAGGGTAACAGTTATGCAAGAAATGCAAAGATTAGGAATGTCTGCAAATGTACCTCTTGATCTTTCGAAACGAAATAAGTGATTTATGTTGCAAATTTGCAAGTCATGATGCACAAACAGTTTAAGTGAGAAGCAACAACTTTGCTGTAAAAAAAGCAGAACTACTTTTAAATTTTTTAAATGCCAAAACTGTTTCTTTAATTAGTAGCAAGATAAAAATTGATAAGTTTTATGCAGTTTTCTTTTATACTTCAGATATAATTTCTTGATTTGTAATTGTTGACTTGGGGGCACCAAGACAAATTCCGACTATAATTATGTTAAAATAACTAGATGTTTTATTATTTTGTGAAATGTGCAAAAAAAAGTATCAAAACACATCAAATTATTTTTTACATCAATAAGAATTAGGTTTATAACACATTGTATTAGATTTTTCAAAAAGAGAGTTTTATAGTCGTTTATATATATATTTAGAGAGTTTTATAGTCGTTTATATATATATTTAGAGAGTTTTATAGTCGTTTATATATATATTTAGAGAGTTTTATTGTCGTTTATATATATATTTAGATAGTTTTATAGTCGTTTATATATATATTTAGAGAGTTTTATTGTCATTTATATATTCAAAGAGACTTGCTTTTCCTTTTAGATTAATATTTTCCATATTTTAGTAGGGAAGAAATTCAATTAATATCATTATCAATTATTATCATAATTCATAAATTGCACAGTTTGTAGTTATAGGAAAAGTAGGGGGCTAAAACTAACTGTAGAGAACAAAATGACCGGAGATTGGAGAAGCACTATTGTTAAAGATAAATGAATATATATCTATGCGGATTTATGGAATAATTAAGGAATGACTATTATTCACCGAGGGAAGGGGTGCAGGGCCGCAATGAGCCCTGAACAATGGTCTCCAAGTCTCCGTATTCGCAGATGAGTATTTAAAGTGACCTTGTGCTACCCCCGAACGTTAGAATGAATATTATCGAAGTAATATTTAATATTTCTGACAGAAAATATTTTATCTTTAAATAATTATGCAATGTTTGTTTAATATCCAAAAAACATTGCACAACTATTAAAATAACAAAAAAAAAATCTGGAATTTTTATGCACTAATTCTATAATATCTATTCTGAAGGATAACGGTAGCGAAGCCAAAGAGGCTTGGAGACCATTTTGCGGGGCTCTGGGCGTTCCTGCACCCCCTCCCTACTTCACCAATGAAAATTTAAATGAAAATTTAAACCCCCTTTGGAATCAATGATAAACCAAAAGGTTTGTCATTACAAATTGGTTCACACCTAATTTTTCTAATAGTTAATGATGATACTTCTCTTGTAATACCGAACGAAAGACAAATACATTGGGAAAAAAGTGAAAACAAAGAAGTCGTCTCTATTCTACGCGGCAAATAAAGTTTGATTGATTGGTAAACTCATACAATTATGTTGATTTGAATTTTTCTGAGAGTAACAAACATTCCAATGTATAAAGCTGGTTTTAAAATATGCCTCTAAAAATAAGTTTTAAGATTAGCGGGATTAAATTAGAATTGCTGCATACCAAAAGAAAACAGCTTTTTATAAAGGAATGGTTTATCATTGTTACAGGGGTCAATATAATTCCTTTTTCAATCCCATTTGGGATTGACAAATTTGAAAGAAATGGGGGAGGGCAATGGGGTAAATGTGTTAGTGGAATTTGAAAAAAAAATTTTAACTGGGGGCATTTTTTTTAAAAATTGGGGGCATTTTTTTTCAAAATTGGGGGCAAAAAATTATTTTGGGATCGAGAAAATCAGCTTTCTTGGGAATTATATTGACCCCTGCATTGTTATTGATAAATAACAATGTTTTACTTTTCCTTAAATTACGTATTTTTTCAACCTTTTTCCTAGTGGCCTCTTCTCTGTTAAAAATACCTTTTTATAAAACTAGATTAATTTTTTTAACATTTTGGAAGGCCCATAGTAACTACTTCAATAAACTGCAAAAAAATGAACATTCACTGATTCAAATAATTATTGCAAAAAGTTTAAGTTGTTCGAATTAATCCTAACTAAAAAGCCCAACCCAGTAAGTTTCACTTCAAATATGCTGAAATGTGCAAATTCTCTTTGAAGGGGCCTGTGCAAAATTTCTTTGAAAAATCTGTGCAATCTGCTTCCTGTTGTCACAGGGGTTTTAAAGAGCTATTCATGTTTAACACCGTGATGACCGGCCGGAAGTACGTTAACACCATGATGACCGACCGGAAGTATGTTAACACCATGATGACCGGCCGGAAGTATGTCTATATATAGATTTAGTCTGGTTCAGGTAAAATATGGGGTTTCAGGCAGTTTTTGAGCTCACAATTCTCCCTGGTAAACCATCAATAATATTAGAGTTTTTCTTCTGTATGGATTTAGGAATTCAGAGGCCGAATGAATAGAATTTAAGCCGCGGCTTAAATTTGAGACGCGGCTCAAATATGGTTGGTTCCACTTAAAATTGTATTCAATGTTACAAGATTTAAGTCGGCTCTCAATTGAAACCAGTTTTTGGTGGATTTGAGACGCGGCTCAAATTCATTAAATTCGGACTCTGGTCACAGTGAAGAAAATGAAAATGAAACGAGTCTTTTAAATAAAAATATTTGAGAAATCTTCAGACAGAACCCAAATCAAAAAATACAACAAAATGTAGTGGAAAATTGTGCATGACAAGAGAAAGATTTGGTTCGTAGTTATTAATATAATAAGCTCTTCTCTCAAATTATATATACACAGGGTGACCCCAAAAAAAGGGATTAGCGTTTTTGAGCCCTTTTAATCTTTTTAAAATGACTAGAAAATGTGCTTCATGTGCAAAGTTTTTAATTTTAGAAGATTCCGTTTAAGCAAGTTTTTTTTTGGTGGAAAACTATTTGAAAATTTCTCCGTTAACTTCAGCTAACCAATAATGTTTAAGAAACAAACAGAAATAATTTACATATTTCTGAACTCTCTTATATTAATCTTCTGGGCTTTCTGAAATCTATAAGTAGTCCTTAACCCAGAACTCATAGAAAAAGAAACCAATAAAGAGAGGTTGCAGAATTCCTGGTCCAATGGCAAACATAGGCGACTTTTTTGCATGGCATAAAAAATAATTTGAAAATTAAACGTGAAGGTAATCTAAAAAAGTATTCATTATTAGAATTTCTATTTTCTAAGCAAAAGTTTTTTCTCTCTGCAATATAGATTTCAAGAGAATAATAAAATTTATCAAGTGTTGAAAGTAAAGAGCGAGGGTTTTCCAACATTCGACATTGTTTTACGCCAAACCAAAGAAAGGCTTAAAAACGCTTATCCCTGTTATTTTGGGTCAGCCTGTATATTTATAAATACTTAAGAATGCAAAGGAACATAATATAGATACATAAGAACTGAAATCATGCACTGAATACTTATTTTCTTATATTTATGTAAATGTTATGCGACTGGACCAAAGAGAATAGAATATATATTAGAGGGGAATTTAGAGAATCTCTCGGTATGAATTTTTTCAGTCCCTTTCAGCCTGAAAGGGAGTTAAAAGTGTACAAATCATGTAAATGTTCACAAATTATATGCAGTAGAGTACATTAATACAGTATGTTCCCTAGACTATTCATTTCAATTTCGAA